TTGGGTCTGACAACGCAGAATTTGTATGAATCCACCAGAGCAAGATTGAGTGGTTAATTAAAAACATCAATCCTCTTATCCGTCATAGATCATGGAGAAGAGATATGATAAATCTTTGATTAAATGAGTGTTATAGGTTGCAGTGAAGCAGCAGGACGGTTTGCCTCTTACAAAGATGATGAGCAGAGATGTGTTTGTCACAGTGGATTTCAATAATCCATATCCACCAATTCCAAGGCCGTTCAAAATCGATGCGAACGATTTGAATTCCACGGACATGACGACAAGGATGATTCGACCCAAGATCAAGGAATACTCCTTCAATCTGACGTTGAACGAACGCGGGGTCACCAAGGTGTCAGTCAAAGCACCGATCGACGCGTCCTCCATGCGTATTGAGGTATGCGGCTGTTGTTACAAGATTAATGAATGCGAACGGATGAGGCTAAATTCATTTTTGTTGGTTTAAGGCGCGGTACGGCAGCCCAGACTCAGACATTTATACTTACGAGTACATCAGTCCGTTCATTTCACCGTCCAAGAGCTTTCTGGTAATCAATTACACCGATGGAGCGGCAGACGCTGGCAGCCATATCCGGTTCACCGTTGAATCTACCATCGACGTAAAATCCGTCTACGCACAGGTAAGCTGTTTTTTACCTCATGATTGATCGAAGTTGATATGCATCAAAGGGAACAATGACAGTGTTATGCTATGTGCACAGACATGATGATTCGATATAAACATTTTTGCTGCAGTTTTGGGTTTGGGTGCCTAGCTTAGCTGCACTGCAGTATTCCCGTCTTAAGAGGACTTAGGAAATAAGATTAATCGTGCGTATGGATGAAGGACCGACCAGTGAGAGTGGGTTCAACGACTGAGGTTTATGCATTGGTGAACAATGCTGTGTGTGCATTCTTCAGTAAATATCTATTAAGATCCGTCTTATATGAAAAATGCCACTTTGGTCAACAGGGAGAAGACAGCCATCGGCCTATTAATCAAAGAGTCGTTCCACATCTTACCTAATCAGTGCCGAGCATGTAGCAAATGTATAAACTCGTTCAGTTTGAGTGACAGCTTCAATATCCTGAGGCTAATTTGTTCGAAAAGATTCAGGAAACGTCCGATCCAGTCATTCAAATAGTGCATAACTAGAGAGCCCTTTCGTTCGTCCTTTCGCCTGATGATGTATCCGGAAAGTGGTTAAAAAGGCACTCGCACGTCGTCGTAGTGACTTATAGTTGAATAGTGAAGAAAATAGGGGATATAGTTGTTATTGAAACAGGTGATGAATAAATCTACCTCAATCCTTCGTCAAATCTGATTTTTGCGCTGCAGTTGAGTCGAATCTACTACATGAAATATGGATATGCATAACTAAGCCTTTCGGCCAAATCTAGTAAAACATTCACCACTCTCCGCAATATGATTTATGAAATGGAGCGCCATGAATGGAAAGAGTAATTTTCTGCATAGTTTTGCAAAGGTGTATATTCATCGATATTTTGACCTTGTACCAGTACCGGTTTGTCGCGAGCGACATCTTGATAGCGTCGCCTTCAATGAGTCAGTGACATCGCCTAGGGTCTTTCAACAGGTCCGATCGCTGAACCAGTTACCTGTCTCGCCACAGTTTCGAGGCATATCCATTTGGCCCGCAAAACAAGACACAGTTCTGACATTTTAGATTGAGGTCAGCTTTGTTCATGCCTGAAAAGATGGATGGACCTGTATAAGGTCTAAAGGGCAAGTCGGAGGTATCGACAAGTCGTTGCACCATTTTCTGTCGGCGCATTGACATTTATCAAGCGAAGGACATCTTCTCGAGAACAGTGATGATTTGAGCTAACCATTTTGAAGAAAGCACGATGCCAAAGTATTTGATCTCTCTTATTGATTGACAGAGTTTCACAACTGAAACATGTTCATGTCCTGTACGTAGTGAAGCGTCATGTTCTGAGTACTAACATTAAAAATCAGCATCTGATTGACTTAGAGTGGTTTCAGATGATAATAAGGTCAGGCGGCAAATATCTGACGGTTTGAACTGCCTCTTCATGTTCTGCGTCGTTCTGGTTGATTAGATATTTAATGGTTAGATCGTCAATATATTGTACACTGATAGTCGGATGTTCATTGCGACCCATGCTGATGTACAGATGAACAGTCGTTGAGAGACGACAGAGTCCTGAATCATCTTGATGTTGTTGCTCTCATAGCAGGAAGATTTGCTACTCATTGAAATATGTTATAAACGTTATGAAAAGTAATTTTCGAATCATTCAAAAGTATTTACATATAAACCGAATAATGTTAGCGTCTTGAGGAATTTCTGCCTAGGGGTAGTATTGAATGCTGACGGGAAGCTGAGAAATATTGTCCACTTTGCGCATCTGCTTTGATCTACGCTACCTATTATATCGTCTATAAGAAGGCTTGTTATTGCCATCCGAGCCAGTCATGATTTTGTCTTTCATGGAATTAAGCACCATCTATTCCAAAACTTTCTACGAGACAGATTGGGAGATTATTCGGTGGCAATGATAAGATATTAGAAATTAGGATTGGCATTATCTGCAGAGTTTAAGATGATGAGTGCGCCGTGTATGGGTAATTGTGGCGCTTGAAATCGACTTCTTGAAAACGACGGATCGAGATATTTACAGTTCAGCAAAAGTATATATTGGCAAATCTAGAATTTTTCGAGACCACCAGAAAGGTTCTGTCGTAATGCAGTGCACAAGAGCGTAATTATCTCCATCAATTTAATTTTGCCATATTGCTTATGATTACAAACGATGCTACGTTGAAAGCGGTGTTCAGAGTTTCTGTTATCCTCAGAAATAAAAAATTGTCGGTTCAGTTATTTAGGATCATTCAGATATGACCTCCAACGAAGTTGCAGCTTCATTTTTACATCACCCTGATGACTATATCTGTAGGTGGTATCAAAACGCGCTGGTTAATGAGGGAAGTTAGCATCGAAGAAGCGAATAACAATGGGTAGACAGTAGGGTAGACGTATAACATCGTAAAAAAATCGTTTTGTCGTTGCCATAGTTTTGACCTTCGGATGAACGACCGACTTCTTCAGGTGATCAGTCGCGGTTTCATCGTGTGGAACGGCATGGCGGACTGCGTCGATCGCCGGGCGCAGTTTTCATTCAGCGTAACGCACGAAATGGCACCCAGCGCCCGACTGCTCGTGTACGCAATTCGTCCAGAAAACAATGAGGTGATGGCCGCCTCTCGAGACATAAAGGTCAACGGCATTTTCGAAAACAACGTATGAAACGGTGCCGCTGTTCGCAAGCACAGCTGTTTTTGCGATTAGCCGTCGTAAGCATTGCTTTGGTTCAGGTTGAAATAACGGTAGACCCAGAGAAAGGGGAGCCAAACACAGACGCCTCGTTCCGAGTCAGCGCCTCACCGGCCTCCGTTGTTGGACTGCTAGCCGTTGACCAGAGCGTCCTTCTGCTGAAATCCGGAAACGACATCACCGTTGACAAGGTAACAGACGTGAGACGGATTTGATGCGCACCACTGACTCAGTTGTGATGTATGCACTTCTCTTCTTGCCTGCTATTGCCTGTCGTGAGTAAATAAGTAAACAGGTAAATAAACAGTAAAATACATAGCGAGATAAATAAATAGTAGGCAATTCAGTGCGTAAGTGAACACGCTTGTAATTACGTGAAAATGTACTAAGGTAAACAAGAAATTAAACCTCGTTGAGTAGCTGATAACGTGATCAGTTGGGAAAATAATTAAATGAGCCAGTTGAAAATTAAATAACTAATAAAGGTGCAAGTAATAAGTCGTCTGGTTCCATAGTTGGAAGCACGACAAACAAGTAAAAAGTTTTATTTACAAGAATTTTAACGTTTCGATCGAAATGCATAGGTGATCTTCAAGGGAATAAGAAGAAACAAACTGTTGGGTCAGTTGGCTTGACCTGATTGGTTGGACGCTAGACCGGTTGCCAATTATGCTGTTAAACAGGCTCCACGCAATCGTTGCAAGTTCTGTTTTTTGGAGGGAGCGGTGTGTAGCGACTTCTTGATTTAAATTGTACATAACTAATAAATGCATGTATGTATTTATTATGAATATCATTGAGTATTTATTATAAATATTATGAGTATGAGTATCATTGTGAATACTATAATATATGCATATAGTATACATGGAACTGATAAATGATATGTGTATAGTATGGCAAGTAATGGAATGAATTATCAAGTAATTAGATAAGCAGTCAAGTGGAAAAGTAGCGAATTACTATGTTTATTACTAAAGGAATAACCGAATAAATCGGCCGAAATAGGGAATTTAGTAAGAACGTAAGCAACTGAGTAATTCAGAAAGTAAGGTGAGTAAATAGCTCAGTAAGCAAACAGCAAAGCAATACCCTATGCCCGTAAAAATGCGTAAAAATGGGTAAACTCTGGGGAATGCAATTACTTTCATAAATTAGTATGCAAGAGGGTTATGTTGATGAACAAGTAAGTTAGAAGGTACATCAGTAAGGATTCACAAACGTGGGTAATTATGCTAATGGATGAGTGACTGAGTAGAACTTCAGCATTCCGATCAATGGAAGAAACGGTACCGTGGGTTATTTCTTTGCGTCGAAGGAACACAGTTTTGGGTTCTGAAGGCTCATCACTTCAAATAAAGATTCTGTTCAGGCGTCGAACTGTTTCGTATATATTGTTTTATACCCGTTCCAGCCGTTTCATAAGTGTTGGGGAACAGGCAAATAAATTGGTATTAGGTGGCAACATTAAAGTGACAAGATATATAAGTTACTAGGCAAAACAATG